TGTAGCAGAATTGCTCATTGGCTGCTTTATCCAGCAAGATGCTCTAAAAAAGGAAAGGAAGTGTAATCGGTTGAGCAACCCATGTGCACTGAAGCTGCAGATGTGTGTGCTTGTATCAGAGACTCTAACAAGACCAGACAATATTCTTCCAGAGGAGAAAAAAAAATCCACCTTGTTTTCAGGTGCAGAGTCTGAAAGGTAAACCTTCAGTGACCTGAACCAAGTTGGTAAACTTTAGAATAAGTCTTAGTCTATTATTTAGGAGTCTTCTTTCTTACACTGCCTTTTCTTATCACCATTCCACCCTCTATACAGTTTATTTTAGAACTACACATTTCAATGTGATATTTATTTATTTTTCTCAAAATATTTAGGAAATAAAGTCTTGATCCTCCGTTTTTCCACTTATACAGTTTTCCAAAGTCAAACCTTAATCTTAATCTTATATACTTTTAATTTTTAATCACAAAATTATATAATAAACACATGTATGTCCTAATGTGTTTTAGAGGTCTGACCCAAAATGCAGAGAACCACTCAGAGAGCAAGGCAAAGATTTAACAAGTTTGTTGAGGTAAGGGTAGAAGGGGGGTATGATCTGGGACTCAGGGAGCTGGTGAACAGGAACTAGGACGTCTAGAGGGGATATCAAAACAGTTAGTTCAGGGACCGTGGGAATCTTGAATGCCGTAAGGAAAACGCTAGTGAGGGACTCACGTTTGAGGGGGTTCTACTCTCACTTTGCATCCAGTCTGTGTGGGTTGATCCAGAGAAGAGGGAACATGTTGAAGAGTGGACAGGTAGACATTTTTTGGACCCGGAGGAGCACCGGAGCAGACTATCACTTGGATTTCCGTGAGGGACTTGAACAGCACATGTGGAGGTTTCTCCCCTTCTCAGTGTGAACTCAGTAAACAATCCTTCCAGGGGAAGAAGACCAAACTTCCAGTACGCAGGAGGACTTCCTGCCAAAGGCAAAGACAAAAACAAGGTTAGACTCAGAGAAACAAAGACTCAGGTTAGACTCAGTTAATCTTAGCATGGCTAGAGTACCCAAAACTGGCAAACACTCTGGCGTCAAGGGAGTGACAGTCCACTGCTTAAAGGAGAAGTTCGGTTTTTTACACTTTTAGCCCATTTT